ATCTCTTGGTTATAACTTAAATGTTCTTACTGCACGTGAGCAGCAAAAACTAACCTGCTGGCACTTGGCTCGCAGCTTTTTATTAGTTAATTATATCGTGACCCAAGCACGCTAATTTTTCTTTTAACCATAGCCACTCAAACTCCAAAATAGAGTCAAGCACAATGGATGATTTGCGGACAAATAAAGTGTACTTATTCAGCTGTAATGCGTCAGATGCCGGCAGGAATAAATAATAAATAATACACGGTATACTTTTAGAAGAGTCCAGAGAGTGAAGTGTAAAACTGTGATCAGAAATATGTGAAAGTATAGGCGCAAAATTTAGCAAACAAAACTTTTGTACAACTAATAAAGCGTAGACGCACCATTAATGCTCAGGGTGTTACTTCAGCCGTGTATGAAGCCTGCGTATACACTGCAATATTCGCATTTAAAGTTTGAATATTTTGGATGTTTAAGTTGATGGAAACCGTGAAACTGATCATTATAACCGTTTCAAGGTAACCTCATTGCGCATGCTTTATGTACGCTAAAGGCGTTACACAGCAAAAATGAACAGACAAACTACTAAACGGAATGGTACATTAGATACATCTTGGTTAGATTTATCGATTCTATTAGGTTCGAAAGTGAGTGCGAGGAGGCCGGACTTCACTATACACTCCTGGTCAGCACATTTGAAAAGCTTTCTAACCCAGTAATAAATGTCATCGTTTCTAAACCCTAGTAAATGCGCAGAAATACATATGTAGATATATGTTAGCGTAGAAATATGATGCATCTTTACGCAGGCGTAATATTAGTAGAAGAGTTCAGCGTCCTTCTGTCCAGCCAGGTTTGCGAGTGGCAGAAACTCGAAAGAAAGGCGCTGTGCTTACGTTCACCCGGGCATGAGTTTAGCGTAATATGGAGAAATAAGGAAGATGAAACGGCGCAAACTGCTAGTAAATTGGGTTGTAGACTCTGGGAAAATTAACAAGGGAGTTTAAACACGCCAGGTTAATAAATAGTCAAAATCAAAATTAAACTTTAGTTTAGTGACCTTTAGTAAATGAGTGTGGGCGTATAATAAATAAATAAATAGTATATTCTCAACTTTATAGAGACACACCAAATAAGACATTCTCAAGGTTTATAAGCAGTTGTGTATCACAACAATACTTCGGGTGCAATGGTGTGTAGTTGAAACGTCCAAGGCACTATACGTGCAATGAAACGGTGCATGTAGACGGAGAGTATCATAATCTTGCACGTGTCAGGAAAAAGTTGGAATATGAGTCTAGTCTACTTGCCAGTATGTAGTTGTGGGCAGTGACTTTATCCAGTGGCGGGTCACATCCGCCACGTCGCAGTGTTGTTAAACAGACATTTGTGGCTTTTTATAGGGAGAACGCTTGCCAGGCGTAAACCCACCACGTCCTGTAACACTGCCGTAAAGCATTTTGCACACTAATGTATAACTGGCAAAGATGCTCGAGGACTGAGTTCGTATTCAGTTATTCGGCGTCAACTGGCTTCTAAGATCCTCTGTTGGTTGGACAGATACTTTGGTCAAAGCCGCCATAATTGTTGAGGCCGGTTGAGGACGGGAACATCGCGAATAGTGATCTTGTTGTGCGTCCAGGTGAGCAAGTTCAAATTTTCTGCTGTCTGGATTTTTCAGACGTATAATTTATGGAATTGTGAAGATGGGTCCAGCTATCCATACTGGGCAACGGTTTTGGTGAGTACAGTTGAATTCATTTGGTGTACAACCTGCTCCAGGTAGGTCCTTGTCGGTTGTTACGTCCGTCTTGGGCGAAGACTGTTACTCAGTCTAATCCCAGATCGCCAAGAAGTCCCGGACCTAGGAGAAAAGGGAAAGTGAGGGACAACCGAGAGAAGACTGCAAGAATAGGCGTGGGGTTCACGATTGTTAAAGTCTTATGTTGCAACGTTTAGGCTTGATACACAAGCGTGTACACTGTGCAACAATCGTCATGCCGAAATTGCCTTTTGGATGTCCTATAGAATCATTAGCCGTACGGGTAGATTACTAACGCCTGTGTAGAGACAAGAGCGTTGTATCAGTATGTACTCCACGAAGTATCAGTTTAGTATGAGGCAAACATTGCGTGGGGCGAGAACAAAGGGGGTTAGAAGACTGGTGGTGATTGCAAGGTGCAGGAACAGCAAGTAGCTAGCCTAATACGATAGGGAGCGCAGAATAAGAAAGTGGAAAGTACTTACGTTGCTGCGAGAGTGATCTAAAAGTCCATTGGCGGTAAGGCAGCGGAAAGATTGGATGCAGATATTCTAAATGAATAAAGGTTAATAAGATACGGTTTGACTCCTAACAAGCACTGGATAATCGCATATGCATGGAGCCTAAGATCACTAGCTACTTCTAAACGCAGGTGCCGAATTTAAGCCGAGCGACGTATAGTGGCGCTAGGGAAGACTACCAGTGGCCAGATGTAGCCATTCCAATAAGACGTTTGGTCACTAGTGTATGCCTACAGGGACCCAGAATGCATCAACAAGCCAGGGAAGGTAAGTGATACAGACATTCCCAGAGAATGTCTAAAGGAAAGACAAGATGTGTATCCTAGCAAGTTCAAGGTCAACGCAGGTGGGCCATGAAGCCTAGGGCGAATCGCTGCAGTCGTGAGGAAGATAAGAAGAGCGAAGATAATGGCGCTGGGAGTGAGAGTATCAGTGATGAGCCATGGCATTTGCATGAAGCCTTTTAGTTACTAGTATGTACCAGTGTCCCAGAACAAGCCAACAAACAGCAAATATATGTGACGCAGACAGTCCCAAAAAATGAAGGTTGGAGATAAAAGATAGTGGCTCCTAACAAGCTCCAGATATGCGCAGAGATGCTTGGAATCTACGACCACTAGTTGCTACTAAATAGAGATGCTGACTTTAAGAAGAACGACAGTTAATTTGCTATGAACAGCATTCGGTGGCCAAATGTACCATTCCATTAAATAGTTTGGTCACTAGTGGATACCTACAGTGCCACAGAATACATAAGCAAAACAACGAAGGTAAATAATACAGATATACTAAAAGATTACAGGATGGAGAGAAAAAGGAATATCTCCTAGTAGCTCCGGATATGCGCGAAAAATATGGAGATTGCAGGGAATCGCTGCAGAAAGCATGATGAAGATAAAAGGAACAAAGAATAGTGGTGTTAAAAGAGAGCCAGTGAACAGCACCTTAATTCGCAGTAAGCCTTCTAGTTATGAGTGGATACTTACAGTAACAGAAGAAGTCAACAAACCAGCGAAGGTATATGATGCAAGCTACTCAAGTGAGTAAGTGTTGGAGGGATAAGGAGGGGATCCTAGCGCAAAGATTTACGCTACCTACAGTGACTCTCTGCAGCTGAAAATTGGTGACATATGTAAAACGAAGAACGGATAATGGTGCTAAGGGTGAGAGAGTGTCGACGGAGAGCAATGACATTGAAGTGAGGCCTACTAGTGGCTTAGTGGGTACCTAAAGTGTCCTAGAAGAAGTCAACAAACAGCAAGTGTATATGACGCAGGCCGTCCCAAAGAATGAAGGTTGAAGATAAAAGTGAGTGGCTCTTAGCAAGTTCCGAGTATGCGCAGACGCTTGGAACCTACCACCTCTAGTCGATACTAAATAGAGATGCTGAGATTAAGAGGATCGGCAAATAATGCGCTATGAAAATCTTTCGGTGGCCAGGTGTACCCATTCGATTAAGCAGTTTGGTCACTAGTGGATTCCTACTGCGTCACAGAATACATCAACAAGCCAGCGAAGTTGATACAGACATTATAAAGATTACAGGTTGGAGCAGCAAGAAAGGTCTCCTGGTAGCTCCAGGTATGCGCAAGGATGTATGGAACCTACGACGAATCGCTGCAGAAAAAGTAATAAAGATAAGAGGAACGAAAGATAATGATGTTAAGAGAGAACCAGTGGACAGCAACTGAATTCATTTGAGGTGTGGCAAAATGTCTATGCAGCGTCAACGTGTACTTGGATTCCTTATGGGGAAGCAAAAATGTGTGATATAAATATATTTTAGCGACATACAGTTTTGGAAACCGCAACAGCTAGTTTACAAAATAAACTAGTTACTAATAAGCCATATAAACGACAAGTACAAGCGACAATAGGTAAGCAGGCAAGCGCCTTGGGAATCTCTAAACTTTTGCTGAAATAGGACAACGGAACTGCTGAATCATGACTGTGCAGTAAAGGAGAACAAATTATCATGTTTTTGTTATTTGTACCATTGTATAAAGAAAGTAATAAACCCGACAGTAGAACATACATAAACTTAATGTATTACTTACTTGATATCCTGAGATTATTCAATGAATAACTAAAGTGCAATGGAAGTAGCGATGGGTTCATTTGGCAGCAAAGGTAAACTACAAATGGTAAGCGCCCGTTCGATTAATAAATGGTCGACAAGTTGTTATACACAGTGCCCAGCAAGAATAATGAAAAAAATAAAAAGCATTCTACATAATGCATATACGTATGTAAATAAATAAATATTTTATTCTCGAATTTGTCGAGACAAACCCAACCAGTCATGCTAAACATTTACATGCAAATGTGTTTCGCAACAAACACGTTGCTAGGTATGTAATCGGTAGTAAACCGATGTTGTACAGGCTGCGGAAATTGTAAAACCAATCATGAGGTATAAAGCCGTCAAGGAATAAAGACACGTTGGGTTCTAGTGCGCGCAGTGCAATCAGTCAAGGCATTTTATGTGTAGTGAAAACGATATATGTAGGTAGGGAGTATTTTATTCTTGAACGTGTAAAGCAACTATTGAATTATGATTCTAGTCGACTTGCCAGTATGTAGTTGGGGCAGTGACTTTATTTAGTGGAGAGTCACACCCGTCACATCACTGTGTTGTTAAATGGATATTTGTGGCTTTTTATGGAAAGGACGTTAGCCAGACAAAAACCCACCATATCCTGGAACACTGTCAGAAAGCCGTTTTTGCACTAATGTTTAACTGGCAGAGCAGCTTGCCGACTGATTGCACACTAAGTTATCCGCAGTCAACTGATTTTCACTTTCCTCTGTTACTTGATCAAGTATCTTGGTCATGGCCGCCATACTGGCTGAGGACAATGGAGGTTAGGAGTTTCACGAAGAGACCGCGTTGTGAGTGTCCAGGTGAACAAAACGACAGTCTTTTGCATTTGAATTCTTCAGGTGTAGGTATACTTTTCAGGCGGGGAAGGCATCGTGCCCAGCTATCGTTACTGGACAACGGTCGTGGTAGTAAGCGCAGTTGTAGCCATTTGTTGTACAGCCATATTATTTGTAGGTTCTTGTGGGTTGTGTCCCGTCCCGGGCAAAACGGTTGCTCGGTCCAATCCCAGATCCCAAGAAGTTCCGGACCCCAGGGAAAATGTAAGGTAAGAGACAATCAAGGCCGCAAAGTATAGGCGTGGAAATAAACATTGTTAAAGCCCTAAGTTATAACATTTAGAGTGAAGACCAAATGATGCACAATTTGCAACAATGCTTGTGCTGAAAGTGTCTTTTGAACGTTCTGCGAAAGCCATGGCCGTATAGGTTGCTTGCTACCATCTACATGGTATACAGCGCTTTGCGCCATTAAGCCAACCATGCAGTATCGGTTTGCTATGATGCCACTATTGCGTAGGAAGACATAAAGCAGAATTCAATGACCAGCGGCGTTTGAATAGCCAATGCGCAGCTGGTAGCCAGCCTACCTCGATAGGGAGCGCAGCATAATTAATTGCAGGTATAAATGGCTTGCGAGGAGAGAAATTCAAAGGTCAATTGGTGGTAAAGAAGCGGATAGATAGGACTCTAGTGAAGAGTAAAAATGTTCGTGACATCAAGACAGAAAGACGACACGGGGGTATAAAGAGAATAGTGCTATGGCCGACTGAGGTGGCAAAATCCTTTGAGAGCGCTTACCTCCTACATAAATAAGTGTCGAAACCCTTGCTGCAAATCGGAAACTGAATACCTACAAAGGATTGGTTAAGCAGAGCATGTACAGACAAGGTGCGAATGGATTGATCGGTAGAATTGAAGTAATGAAGATCCGCCAAACGAATGCGAACGTGAGGAACAGATGTATACGCAGCGTCGGGAAGTGAAACGAGTTATTCTAGGGTGCTAAGAAAATGATGCTAGGGTACGCTGATCCAGAGCAATCCAGTGAGTCTGTTGGACTCATACATGGGTAAGTGACGCAAACATAGCAGCGAGTAAGTGACAACTGAACACCTAGAAATGAGAAGCTAACAAACAGCAGGTTGCTGACCAGATAAGCGGAACGATGAGGCAAAAAGAAAATAAAGGTTAATAGATGGATGGGCAGCGAATAGCCGGAATGCAAGCGTACATTAAGGTTGCTGAGGATATCAGAACATGAGGTCTAATTGCAGAAGCTAAATTGCTAAGGTACTGGTAGCAGGCTGGATAGAAGAAGGGAATGCCAGACTTAGAGCTAAAGGATTGCAGGTAAACTGTCTTAGACATTACGGCAAGTAGGATATAAATGAAAATCTAAAAATGTAGGGCAAAACAGAGACTTGCGCTGAATACATATATATGCTTGCACAACAGAAGAAATCTAAAAGAGGTTTCAAGATGGAAGGGGGCGAACGGCAGAAGCGCAAGCAAACAATGAGGTTGTTAAATAGTTCAGAACATAAGAGAATAAGACGCATCGACGCGCAGCTAATTAAACCATGCTGAGGTGCTAATGGCATATAACTAAGGAAGCGTGAGCCAAGAGATGCCAGTGAGAGAGAGCTAAACTAAGGTAGTTAGGTGTCGCAGACGAGTACGTGACAAATGAGCATCTATTAACGAGCAGCTGTGCGCTGACCGGATGAGACAAGGAAGGTCGCCAGAAGAGAGCTATAAAGGTTGAATGAAGGAAATAAAGCAGACAGGAAGATGCAAGCATACATTAAGCTTACTGTTAGAGACACATCAACTAAGGCTGGAGCACGGCGGTGCATAGGTTCTCAATTCGTGCTAGAGTGTTGGGATAATACTACTTTGGATAAAGCCGAGGAAATCTGGTTCGAGAGTTGTACGCTTGCAGGTGCAACCGTCGCAGACATTACAACGAGTAAGGGATATGAGAACGTCTGGAATGGAGGTTAAGGAACGGTTGTGCGCTGACTAGCTGACTTAGGAAGGATTGCTGGGAGAAAGCTATAATGTTTACATAAAGGATGGACATCAAACAGGCAGAATGCATGCATATATTAAGTTTACTAAGGACGGCGCAGCATATGAGTCAGAGGCGCGCAGATACTAAGTCCTCATAGGGTGTTAAGCTATCAGTGCTAAGGTAGACAGCCGGAAATGCCAGTGAAAGTGCTGGACCCCTACATGAGCATGTGTCTTAGCGGTGAGCAACGGATAAATGAAAGTTTAGAAGGGAGAGGGTAAGGAGCAGCTGTGCGCAGACCACGTGAGTTATGACTGCTCCACCGTAGAGTGCTGAGAAAGGTTTTTTGAAGCAAGAGAGCGAACTGATTAAACGCAAGCATACAATACTTCTTTTAAATGGTTCCAATCATAAAAGGCTAAGACGCAGCGACGCGCAGATAATCAAACCACGCTTGGGTGCCAATGAATTATAACTACGGAAGGCTGAGCCAAGAGACGTTAGTGAGAGATCTGAACTACAATTAATTATGTCACAGAAGAGTAAGTGACAGATGAGCATTTAGCGAAGAGAGAGTAAATGATAATTGAACGTCTGGAAAGGAGGGGTTAGTGCTGCTCTGCACAGACCACACGAGTTATGTTTGCTCCACAGAAGAAAACCATGCAAGGTTTCATGATGGAAGGACAGTGAAAGGAAGGAGCGCAAGCATACAATACTACTGTTTAATAATTCAGAGCATAGAAGGATAAGACGAAGCGACGTGCAGATAACCAAACCATGCTGGGGTGCTAATTGTATACAACTAAGGAAGCCTGAGCAGGGAGAATCCAGTGTGAGATCTGAGCTGCAATTAATTATGTGTCGCATATATGTGAATGACAGCTGAGCATCTAGTAAGGAAGCCTGTGCCGGGAAAGGCCAGTGAGAGAGCTGGACTACAATAAAATTGGCGCCATAGACGTAAATAGTAATAAATGCCTGAACGTCTAGAAAGGAGTGGTTGCGCGCGGACTACTTGAGTTATGTTTGCTGGACAGAAGCGACCTAAGAAAGGTATCATGATGAAAAGACAGCGAACGGGAGAGGTGCAGATATGCAATATGGTTGCTAAAAGGTTCAGAACATAGAGGTTAAAACGCAGTGACGCGCAGATAATCAAACCATGTTGGGGTGCTATTGGAATACAACTAAGGAAGCTGGAGCTGGAAAATGCCGGTGAGAGAGCTGAACTACAATCAACTAAGTGCCGCAGGCGGGTAAGTGACAACCGAGCATCTATTAACGAGCAGCTGTGCGCTGACCGTATGAGATAAGAAAACTTTCCAGAAAAGAGCTATAAAGACTGAATGAAGAAAGGAAAGCAGTCAGGAAGATGCAGGCATCCAGTAAGTTGACTGTGGGTTTCACATCATCAGAGGGGAGCAAAAAGGGATTGAATGACGAATGGACAGAAAACAGGAATGCCTACTAAGGTAGACGGAGCCAGAAAAAGCAGATGAGAGTAGCTTGCTACAATAAAACTAGGCGTCTTAGACGTTGCAGCGGGTAATGGTTCATTGAACGTCTAAAACATGGGACTTGGGAGTGGCTGTACGAAGACATCATACGGTATGAATGATTGCCATAAGAGAGCTAAAAATGTTAGAGGAAAGGACTACGATCAGGTGGAACCCAAGCGTACATTAAGGTTGTTAAATACGCCAGAGCATCAGACGCTACAGCGCAGCGGCGCAGAGACACTCAAATCCTTCTTGTGTGCTAAGGTAGACCGAGGTAGGAATAGCTAGTGGGAGCAGGACTTATACATGGGAAGGTGTCACAATTGTTGCAGAAAGTAATGAATAGCTGAGGTCAAAAATGAGAGACTAAGGAGTGACTTTGCGCCGACTTGATGAAATAAGAATGATTGCCAGAAGAGAGCTAAATATGTTTGATGATAGGACATCCAACAGGTGGTGCATAAGCATACATTAAGGTCGATAAATACTGCACATAGGCCAGCATTTCCGCAAAATGTTAAAATGTCTTGTCAGGATAAGGAATATGAGAGGAGTTGCTACGAGGTGCAGATATGTTAGAGTATGGTCTCAGATGCCTGCTGGCAGTCATGAGGTGAGAGGCAGAAATCAGGGGTAAAGTATCGTAATGGCAGTTGAGGACAATCATTATTTTTCTTTGGAGTTGAAGGAGATCGGATGGGGAAGACGTTTATATGTGATCAGGTCCATTTTTCCGCAGTTCGTCCAAGTCTGTTAATGCTTAAAAGAGTAGAAACATGACTTAGTTTGAGGTACCTATTAAGTGCTGAACGGAAGCTGATTACAGTATCAGATGCCCGCACGGTATGTGGAAGCCTATTGCACACTTACGCGTATCCGTAGATAGAAGTTAGCACGCGTACTACTGTAGGTTTCCTGTAGGTAATTTAGTGCGTTCTATTACGAAGAGGATACGAAATGCTGCCAGATGATAGGAAGGGCGTTAGTGAGATTGCAAAGGATGCACAAGTAGGTAAAGGAAGTTGAAGTTAGTTTTCAGCCCGCACAGTCATAAAGGCTCTAGCGCGAGTTCGATGCACCGACCGCGATGGTTGGGAGTAGAGTGGCTCAGAAGACTTTGGTAAACGATCGTTGAACATATAGACAACGGTGAAATTCTACCAATTAAATATGTTCAATTTAAAAATACCGATGCATTCATATCTACAAACAAATAATATATGTAATGTTGGCCATATTACTATACGTGCATACATAAGTACCTATAGCGAAATACGCCACAAATATACAGGTATATCGCAAACATTGCTATACACGGATACGTCTAGGCAAGTTGTACCTTCATGAAAATATATATGTACTCGTTCGTAGATAGTAAACTGTGCATTTAATTATTCACTTAAATGAAAGGTGGCTAAAAGAGCAGAATTCCGCCTTCCAGTAACAACCTATTGAAGGTGTTATAATAAACGACAGGTAAACTTACAAATACAGCATTGTATAAATACAGCATACAGTTATATAGAACATGAAATAACCCAATGACAAATAAAAAATAAAGAAAATAAATGAGTGGTGAGAAAGAGGTACATACAGATATGACTGGATATATATTCATGGATATCCAAGCCAACACGCTGGTTGCTCAGTAAGCTCATTTAAGTCCAGCGAGCATGACATTGTTGTCACCGCTCAAATTCATGCTTGCCTTCACTTTACTGCACGACCAGTGCATAGTAAGTTGATAGAAGTCCCATTGCAGTAGCATCAGCAT